TTTATTGCTCTTATTCTTAATTTACGCCCATTTTAATTGTAGAGAAGTAAATCACATTATTTATATTTCAACATTATTTATATCAGTAGAATAAGTATGAGCTCTTAAAATACATTGTATGTATTTTAAAACGATTAAATGAATTAATTAATTAAATTTAGAATAAATTAATAAACAAAATAATAATTATCGCGCCGGTAATTAATCGTCGATTTAATGCGCCGCACCTGACGGCGCGCTCTTAATGTCTTATGGATAGTTGGACAGTTTCAACAGCTCACTATTCAAGAACCCTTGACACCTCAACATTTTGCTATTAACATTTTCGAGTCAGTTTTTCATGAGGAATACGTAGATGCCGGCTCCTGCGGGTGACCTGGATCACCCGTATATATATATATGCATAAATAGTCGGTAAAACAGCGATATCACGGAGTTCCATTAATTACTCCAGCATCACCTTAAGAAGCTAAAAAAACCTACTTTAGTTTATCTTTACAATTTATATTAAAATTCAAAAAATTTTATTTTTTATTTTATATATGTACTATACAAGAAACATTTAAACATAATATGTCAAAGTACAACTGAAAGCAAAAATATTGTCCTGTTTTAGTAGAATGAAGTTGAGTTATACTTGCACCGATCTTCTTTTCTCTAATGATGAGTGAAACCTTAGAAAAGAAGGCGCAATGAAATTCGTAGAGAAAAAAGCTCAGTGCAAATATAGTTCTACTTATTAAGTATATTTAAATCGGACATTATTTGCTGTATTGTACACGACGTATATAAAATTATTTAAAAAATTTTTTTTATAATATCTGATGAGAATTACAGTACGTCTAAAGCTCAAACAATTTATAATAAAGTGTCGGATTTTTTATCATAAAATAAATTAAGTACCACTTTACGAAAGAAACGTTATTTTTGGCACAAAATGCAAAATAGATATATACGTGTATGAATTTAAAAATAAATATTATAAAGAAAGTCTAAAATATTTGCTTGGTTGCATAGCACAGTGGTATAATATGTATAATATGTATTTAAAATAATTACCGTCCAAAGTTGCACAATAATTGAGGTAGTTAAAAAAACTTATTAAATACACTTTCTAACATTGACACTGTAACATTTATGTTTTTAAAACATTTCAAAAATGTTTAATTTCTTTCATAAAAATGGCCAATTATGCTAAGATTTCCTGAACATGTATTACCAAGCCATGACAAACCAAATTTGTGGTTTTTTTATAATTTTATTTTTACAAGTTTATGTATCGCTCAATTGCTACAACAACGAAACAATTCAAAAAGCCAAGCTTTAAAAAAAAATGAGTTTAAATGTTTTGAATTATAAAAAATGATTTTGTAATATTAAAAATTAAAAAACAATTTGTTTAGATATAATAATTAGAAATTATAAAATTAAAAATCTACTTAATTAAAAAAAGTGGTTTAGTAAGCCAAGCCAGGATAGTCGTGCTATTTGCATAAAATTATGTATTTCGCATTAATGTACACTTATAATAATAGAAGAAAAACAAATGCAAACGTTTCGACTCTCTACTGGGGTCATCCTCAGTACGGTAATATAAAGTGTTTATTCCAACCTACTTTCTCACTTATCCTCCTATACACCCTCCTTACATAGTACCTTACATACCCTAAGTAAACGACAATCACCTTCCTTGTCAATCCTTAATAAAACGTACTTTTCAAGAAAGCAATTTTATTTCCTAACGCATACTGATAATCAGGATGGATAGGTAATCGTAAAGTTATCGCAATTTATATAACTCACAAATACAAAAATGCAAAAAAAGAACGATTATTTAAAGAAATAATCGTTTTTTTTTTGCATTTTTGTATTTGTGAGTTATATAAATTGCAATAACTTTACAATTACCTGAAATTTCCTGTAAATACCTAGATTCAAAATAGTAGCCTATTTATAATCTTATATATAACAACAAATAGAAAATTAAAATACACATATAAAGTGTCGGAAAATTGATAAACCTATGAAAATAACTGTGATTTCATGGTAAAAAATATAATTTGTTCTAACGTATAAAAGTACACAAAAAGTTTATTAATGAACTTAATAATTATTAGAAATTAAAAATTATGAACGTTTACAGTTTTTATTCAACATTATATTCTGAGTATTGTCCTGTATGAAAAAAGTGAGGAGCTTATTTTACACATAGACAAATAACGTCCCACGCAATCAAACGAAATGCAAGACTTTGACACACATAATATCACTATTAGGCAAAGAAATTTTATTATATTGATGCTTTAGCGAAATAACAATAGGTATAATTTAAATTACTGCTCTATTGAGGATGATCCAGTAGAGAGTCAAAATGTTTGCGTTTGTTTTTCTTCTATTATTACAAGTGTACATTAATGTGAAAATATATAATTTTTATACAAATAACACTACCCAGCTCGGCCTATTTTTTTTAATTAGTTAGATTTGTAATGTTAATTTTGAAATGCAATTTTGTAGTAACGTTTAAAATTAATAGTAACGTTTTAAAATTAAAATTGATTGTAAAGGAATAAAAAGTATGTTCTTTCTTTTTTCCTTATGTTTTTGTTTTTTTTTTGCAAGCAAACTAAAAAATGACATTTTGAATTATGTCGTTATATAGCAAATGAGCGATATATGTATATTTTTTATAATATATATTAATAAAAATGATTGCTTTCTTTTGCAAAGTAGTATTTTTATTTTATTTTATTTATTATAAAATCACAGTTTTTTTCACAGGTTTATCAACTTTCCGATTGTCATTTTATGTGTATTTTAATTTTCTACTTGATTTTTGATATATAAAATTATAAATCGGATACTATTCTGAATCTTTTAGCGTAAAAAAATTGTCTTAAACATAAATCATTTAAACTGACATTGAGTTTATATAGTAACCTTAAACAAAACAAGGTATTAATAAGAAATTTCAGATACTAATCTTATCGTAAAATTATTGCAATTTATATAACTCAACACAAAAATACAAAAGAAAAACGATTATTTCTTTTAATATTTAATTAAACAATTGTAT